GGGAAGAAATCTGATACAAATACCTAGCAGGAAAACTTTTGATCCGTGCTTTTATATGGGCTGCAAACACTTGGAGGGGGGTTAAAAAGATCAGCTCCTGCTTGGAATAAGGTCAGGGGGAGTTCAGCAACGGCAGGATCCATCTCCCACGATGCCTTCTGGGCTACGTTGGTTTCGTTTATCATTGCACCAACAGCAAAACTTCCCACCACCTTCACAGCCATGGATCTTTCCAGCCATCCAGAGGGGGAATGGCTGCTCCAGATATTTGTCCCACAGCTTGCAGTGATTTTGAGGGGGAAAAATAACAATTTGGCACGTTAGGAAGGTCTGCTGGAAAGAAGTGGGGGTATATTTGGAAGCTGCTTAAAAGAGGGGGGGGAATGAAAAATTAAAGGGACACTTTGAACAGCACAATTTTAGGGCTCCTTCCAATCAGCATTTCCCTCTCCTTGCGTTTGGGATTTACCTTTTAGCCAAAGCAAAGGATTGAAGCACCAAAACGAAACCAAATCATTTCCATCGTGGGAGAAAAAAAAAAAAAAAAAAAAAGAATGATTAAAAATAATTAAAAAAAAAATTCGATGCAGAGCAGCTTTGTTTTGCTGAAGTCTGAACAGCTCTCAGAACTTTTGCAAAGCCCCAATGGGAAATTCAGATTGTTGCTGTAGGAGTGCAAGAGCAGAGCACCCTGCCCTGTGCAAAAGCAGCTCCCAGGCAGACGGAGGGAGAAGAAAACAAGAGTTTGGTTGTGGTTCGCTGTTGTTTGGAAGGAGCCCCATCTTTCAGCAGCAGAACAAAAGGATTTTTTTAGAACGTGAGCTGATGCTGCAGCCTGAGTTGATCACAGCGTGTGCTGTGCTTTTAACCAAAGTGCTGCAATGCTCAGGCAGTGGCCAGCACTGGGAGCCATCCCCATCCTCAGCACTGCTCCATGGAACCCCCCTATCCTCACAGCCCCCATTTCCCCCCCAGGGCAGGATGCTGCTCTGCCCCTCAGCTTCAGCAAGCAGCCCTTGGGGATCAGAGTTGTGTCCAAAGTGCACAGAGAATCAGGAAATTATTAATAATCGATGCCAAGCTGGAATTTTTGTTTTCAATCCAATTAGTGATCCTGCAGTAAGTTTGATTCACAACTGATTCGTGCGCTCCAGCTTTAATCAATGGGATCAGATCACGGATAGGAGATTCCTTTTTCATTCACAAATGTTTTCCTCCTAACAAAAAAAACGAACAAAAGGTGGTTTGAACTGGGATCCCACGTAACAGAAAGGAAATATTCCCCAACTGAACCCTCACACCTCTCATTCTGCTCAGTTCTCACCTGTGTTTCAGGGACAGCTTTGCTCTGTGCTCGGCTGATTTCTGATGGCTGAGGTTTGTTTGTAACAGATTCTGCATGAATCAAAAGGTGATTTTTTCCCCCTTCTGTGGCAGAAGTGCTTCAGTGAAATCCTTCAGCCCATATTTATTTGATTGTAGCTTAAGCCATACATGAAAGCTCTGGGAAATGAGTGTTGTTCAGAGCTTCAGGTGTTTCTCTGTGTTGTCCAACTGGAAATGCAGTGCCATTGCCAGACATTAAAACCAAAAGCAACCAAAGCAAATCAAAAAAAGAATCCAAACAAATTAAAACAAAATCAAATGGCAAGTGCCAGAAAAGATAGCAGGATTTGAGCTACTCCATCTCACCACTTCTCTGCCACAGAGATCATTTCTGGTTTAATTTTCCTCTGCCTCAGAACAACAACAGTGCTTCACCACTGTGCAGGAACTGCACCTTTCCATATTGAACCCTTGCACTCGTCGGTGCATTATCCAACCATTCAGTTCCCACCTTTTGGTTTTTGTTTTTATGAAGCTTAATAAAGTTCTCTTAAACTCCTGTGTGACAGCAGGGATTGTTTGGTGTCGTACAATAATCATAAAAACTCATTAAGGACCTTTCTGCCTCATTCCAAGGTGGAAATCTTCCATCAAAAACAACAACAACAAATCAACCATGCAACCATGCAACCCTCCCCCCCCCAAAAAAAAACAACAAAAAGAGCAAACAAAAAACCCAACAGCTTTTAACCCGGGTTACATTTTGGGTATGAAATCAAACACAGCCTCACGTGGCTGCAGAGCATGGAGGGACCCATTGGAACGTGGTGTAAACTGCACAAAGAAATCCGCTCCTCAGAGGGAGCTCAAAACAGCAGGGAAGTGCTGGGGGAGGAAAGAGGCCACGCTGCTGTTGGAAGTGACAGAGCTCAGCTCCCCGTATCACACCGGATTATTGCTGCGGTTCCTGGTGAGGTTGAGCCCTTTCCCCCCTTCTTGGGGGGGGGGGGGGTTTGCAGAGCTTTGCTCTCAATGGGGCAGCTGCCCTGCAGTCCCAGCTGCCCCTCCTCCTGCCCAGGGCTGAGCAGCCCTATCACCCCGCAGCAGATCAATGATTTGGGCTCTGCTGTTTGCATTCCCTAAATACCTTACATCTGGAATGCTCCACCGAGGGAAGGAGGTTGAGTGATAGCTTTGCTTGTTGTGGGTCTAAACGGAAGGCTTCCCTCTTTGTTAGGACTTTTGTTGTTGTTGTTATATTGGGGTTGGTTTCTTTCATTTCATTGTTAAAGGGTTGCGTTACACGGGGAAGGTTGCTATAAACCAGCAAACAAACAAACAAACAAACAAACAAAAGCAGCAACAACAAAAGTATTCGGGTCCAAATTAGAGCTGGATGTGAAACAGGCAGCAAATGAGTTGTGCCTGTGGGACGTGTCTGTGTGTGAAGGTGAATTCTCCACTTCTCAGCCACTTTGGGAGCTGCAGGAGTTTTATCCCCAGATTTCATTACTTTCTTCTTCCCACCTGTGAGCGTGGAGCTGATGCTGCCTCAGAAACACACACACAGACACAGCAGTTCCATCCCAACCCCTCCGGTGGATTCGGTTTGGTGCTGTGAGGAGAGTTGGAAGGATGGCACCAAACTGCGAGCAGCATCTCTGTGTTCGGAAAGCCAAAAGCCGAGGACAGCAGAATGCATCAGACAGAGGAGGGGGAGCTGAAGGCTCTTCGCTTTAAATTTCCCAGATTTTTTTTTTTTTTTTTTTAAATCGTTCATTCTGACGAGTTTCCTACGTGGCCGAACGCACCGAAATACCCCTGGGTAGGTGCGCTTATTTCTAAAGCTCTACACGACTTCTCCTTCTCGAATATAATACCACCAAATTTATTTACTAACAAATTCTCCACGTGGCTCTTTCCCCCAGCCCTGCCACAGCGGAGAGATGGACGATGAGAACCCGAAGAATCGCTCAGCAATGCGGGAGGGGGGGGGAGGGGGGAAGGAGGGGGTCCGTCCCGACCGCAGCGCTGTGCCACCCCCCAACTGGGGTGCGGGGGGAGGATGGGGGGGGGGGCGGGCGCAGCGCCCGTATATCGCTCGGGGTAACCGCGCCCGGAACGCCTTTTTTTTTTTTTTTTAATGGAGAAAAAGTTATTATTTAAATCGGGAAATTCTTTCTATATATATTTTGTTTGTTTGTTTGTTTTTAATTTTTTTTTTTTTAATTTTTTATTTATTTATTTATTTATTTAATCGATGGGACGGGGAAAACGGAACCTCCGACCCGGCGGGCAAGGCAGGCAGGCAGGAGCGCGTTACATTTAATTGCAGGCACGGAGGGGCCGGCCCGTGCCTCTACATGTACGGGAGGGAGTCACGGCCACCCCCGCCCCTCCGCTCCCGGCAGCCGCCAGCGCCGAGCCCCCGGAGCACCGGGGTCCCCCGCCCGCCCCGTCGGGGGAGGCAGCAGGAAGGCGGCCGGGTGGGTGGTGCCGGTTGGGGAGGGGGGGGGNNGGGGGGTCGCTGCTATTTTCAATCCATCTCGAGCCTAAAAATAAAAAGCATCCAGAAAAGGCGAAGAGGGAAAGAGGGAGGGAGGGTTTCTATGGACGGGGGGATGGGGGGCTGCTTCTCTCTGCCGACGGGGCGCGTCCACCTCCCCCCCCCCCCCCCTCCTCCTCCTCTCACCCCCCACCCCGGGTCCCGTGGGGAGCGATCCCGCTGTATCGTGGGGCCCTTTTGTGCCAGGAGGAGCCTTCCCCCTTCCCCGAAGGCTTCCGCAGGGCTGCACATGAAGGGCTTAAAACAATACCGGGGACAATAGCCCTCCCCGGGGGCTCCTCCGTTCACCCCGCCGGGTCGGGCCGTTCCCCTGCAGCCCCGCTCCCCTGGCGCCAGGGGACCTCCCGGCCCCTTTGATGCTGAAGGTTT